TATTCCTCGATGCTGTATCGCAGCCGAAGGAGATCAAATAGGACAGCACAGATCAAATTCTACAATAAAAACACACGCCAGCTATTTGACGATCTGTCCCGCTTTGTTTTGTCTAGACCTTTAACGTAACGTCGGTTGATAGAGACTTAATTATACTTTTTGGCTGAAACCATGACTTTACCGGCAATTAAACAGGTCCTACGACACCAAAAAAAATCAGTCAATCGATTAACAACTCCATCATCCTCGATATTATTTAGCCGCCTTTCGGTAACCTAGTCGGTCGTGCCTAAAGTTTGGTTTCATGACCTTGCCTTGCATTGTGTCCATTAACTGCTACTACAGGTGCCACACGAAATGTGCTGTGCTGTCTTTGTCTAACAGGGCGGTCGTTTGTAAGATGCGACTCCGGTGTCGCTTGTCTTTCCAAGAAGTAAGTCATGCAGGCACTTACTGCATGGACAGGAGAAGTGGACAGAGCGACTGCTGCATCCAGAAACGCGTAGCGAAAGTTCTTGTTTAAGGCAATGTACAGCATAGGGTTTATTGCGCTGTTTGCATGGGACACCCAGAGCATGAAATTCATCACGACGAGAGGGATTTTGTTTAAGATGGCTTGGTTGAAAAAAACAAAGTAATGAAACAAATGTGTGGGTGCCCAACAAATAGCGAAAACAGCTACGAGGACGACCAACATTTTGACAACTTTTTTGCGAGAGACCTCAACAGCTGCCCTGTTAACACTAGTTGTGCTTCCCGGCGCCCTGTGAAGCCACAACCGACGACCAACCAGAGAGTTAACCACGGCTATTATCAACAGCGGAAGAGGGTAGAGGAGGAAAAACAAGATGACGTGGAAAATTCTGAGGGCCAGAAACATTTCATGTTGGTCATCAGCCCAGGGCCAAACTTGGTAGCAAGAATACATATCACCTTCCTTGAAAACTTGGAAGATGAATAAGTAAGGCGTCATAGAGATTAGAGAAAAAAGCCATATGACTGATGTGACGGCTCTATGGTTGTGGAACAAGGCCTGATTCAGCGGAAAATAGACGGCACAAAATCGATCCATGGAAATAACCACCATTGTTGTAACGGACGCAGCAATAGACACAGGGACAGCGTAGAATACCACTTTACATGTAATTTCACCCATGATCCCTCCAAACCACTGATGCGGCTCTAGGAACATGAACAGCACTGAATATGGCATTAAAATGACGGTGAAAATAAGATCAGCGATTGCCAAGTTCTTGATCAAGAGGTTGGTGATTCGCCGCGAAGTTTCCTTGGCACAAACCACGTACAATCCAATGGAATTTCCAAACAGCGCGATTGTAAAGATGATTACATAAGCTGTGACTATGGCAATCTTTGAAGTGATTGAGAGGGCGTCTGAAGCTGTAGTGGCGTTGGCGGAATTCATCCAAGCCGTAGTGGCGTTGGTGGAATTCATCCCTTATAATTTAAGAAAATAAAATTATGTAAGCGCGTTTCTTATTTCTCATAATACCATGTGTTTTATCTATTCAAAACTTAAACATAATGCAATACCTCGAGTAGATTTCCAAACGAGTAAGTCATCGAACAGAGACATACCGCAGAGACTATCTCCCCTACTCCAATAGATCGACCCATTTACGGTATACGTTTTAGATATCAGAAAGAATCGCGCCCCAGAAAGAAGTGACCTCCCGAAAGTAGTGAAAAGAAAAGGCTGCTCCAAGCTGTGCCTTTAGAGACTCCACAGGGTAATCATCATAGTATTGAGCGCGCTAGTGTTATATTTTGGATGCTAGTTTTCGGGTCCGTCTTTACCTCCAGCTCACCGAAACCTATCAAATGTCATCAGCAATGATGAAGTGATGTTCTACAACCATCGGTTGTTGAAAAAATGAATTTTTGTTTTGAATTAAATCTGCCCAAACAAATGAGGTTTTCAGTGATCATGCCAGGCTTTAATTGTGATTTTCTTGAATTTCTCGTTGGCAAAGTTTTCCAAACATCACTCTGATATCCTCTGTTTTTCTGACAAAAAGTCGGCGTAAAAAAAGCAAAATGGTTGCAACCAATCTGCCAAATTAAAATCAATTTCATCAAAGGAAATGCAAGAAAAGTCACTGTCAATTTTACTTTTTGTGGTCACGCAGACGTTGTAAAATATCGGAAAACCCTGGCGTTTTCCTTGCAACACGAACAGATTACTTAACTTAAGCTTTCACCATCGTTAAAACAATTAGGAGCCATCTNTTGAATGAAATCTGCCCAAACAAATGAGGTTTTCAGTGATCATGCCAGGCTTTAATTGTGATTTTCTTGAATTTCTCGTTGGCAAAGTTTTCCAAACTATCAGTCTGATATCCTATGTTTTTCTGACATAAAGTCGGCGTAAAAAAAGCAAAATGGTTGCAAGCAATCTGCCAAATTAAAATCAATCTCACCAAAGGAAATGCAAGAAAAGTCACTGTCAATTTTGCTTTTTGTGGTCACGCAGACATTATAAAATATCGGAAAACCCTGGCGTTTTCCTTACAACACGAACAGATTACTTAACTTAAGCTTTCACCATCGTTAAAACAATTAGGAGCCATCTGTTACTAAGAGAATGATAATGGCGCCTCAGACACATTTAAAGCTACTTCTCGCTTCGTTTGTGAAAGTCATACAGAAGCATTATTTTCTATTTCTAGCAGACTGAAAATTAGTCAATGTTATTTTCAATATAAGTTTTATAAAAGAAGCGAGGATACTAGCATACTTAGGTATGTAGATGTTGCAACTGATGGGTTGAGCTATAGTACACTTTAAGGACGTTCGCGCGAAATTTTCCAGTGGATAGATTTTTTTAAAATTTTTAATGCAGTCAGATAATGAGTTACTTGTGTCAGAAATGCCAAAAAAAATTGGGATCATTGATTTCGTTTCAGAGATAAAGCGTGGAGAAAAAGTACCCTGATTTTGAAAAATTGGCGCGCGTAAATCAGCACGATCTACAGGGGTTTATAGTTAAAAATATCGAAGGTGAGTCAATGGAGGTAAACGATGTTAGTCATATTTTGTAGAGGTGGGTGTGTTGCGTACATAATTCCAAATATTGCCAACGTTTTCACAAAACTTAACCCTTCGAGAGGCATTTGAAACTGCCGCACAGATAAACGAAGAGCTAAAAATAACGGAATTCGATGGTGCATTTTGCAAAAAAAATCAAGCTTCTAATCGATAGATTTTCTTCATTTTTTCGCTTAACGTAGAAAATAGGTAGAGAAAATGATTCATCAAAAGAAATTTAAGGGTCACCGAACGTCCAAGATCGTTAAATCCAGGCAAGGCTATAGCAATTATTTTATTACTTAGCGCGCGCATCGATGCATGACGTGGCGTGTCAATTTGCGTGCGCAGTAAGGATGCGCAGAAACAATTAGCGCGAACGTCCTTAAACCATGGAGTGACCGGTCCACCAAAAATGCCCGGATGGAAGGTATTCGTCCATTGAAGTCAGTTAACTTTATTTAGTAGGAAACGCAAACGTCAACGAAATGCAAACGTCATAAAATATCGGAAAGCACTGACGTTTTCCTTGCAGTGGCGCAGATTACTAAACTAAAGCTTTNGCTAAACGTAGAAAATCGGTAGAGAAAATGATTCATCAAAAGAAAAATAGGGGTCACCGAACGTCCAAGATCGTTAAATCCAGGCAGAGCTATAGCAATTATTTTATTACTTAGCGCGCGCATCGATGACCATGGAGTGACCGGTCCGCGAAAAATGCCCGGATGGAAGATATTCGTCCATTGAAGTAAGTAAAATTTATTTAGTAGGAAACGCAAACGTCAACGAAATGCAAACGTCATAAAATATCGGAAAGCACTGACGTTTTCCTTGCAGCGCGCGCAGATTACTAAACTAAAGCTTTCACCATCCTTAGAACTATTAGGAGCCATCTTTTACTAAGATAATGACAATGAGGCCTCAGAAACGTTTAAAGCTACTTCTCACTTCGTGTTTGAAACTAAATACAGTAGCATTAATTTCTATTTTTAGTAGAATGAAAATTAGTTAATGTTGTTCTCAGTATAAGTTTCATACAAGAAGCGAGGATACTAGCAAACTTAGGTATGCAGATACTGTAACTGATAGTATAGGTTGAGCTATGGTACACTTTCAACCATGGAGTGACCGGTCCGCCAAAAATGCCCGGATGGAAGGTATTCGACCATTGAAGTAAGTAAAGTCTACTTAGAAAAGATAGCCCATTCAGCTCCAAGGCTGGTCTCCATAGGGGCCCCACGCAACTGGCACGTGAAAAACAATTACATTCTAAAAACAAAAATACTAAAAGGCCTAAAACAAATCTCTAGCATTGGCGTTGTCATAATCAGCTGCGAAATGTTTATCTCAAGGCTAACTTTATTTATTTATGCAAAGTATCAAAATGCGTGACCATTTCTTTTAACCGCAAACTAAGAGGGAACGAATATATGTTAGATGCAAAAAACGAATAAACACAATAATAATTTTCTGCATTTCTGCACCTCATTGCAAGCCAAAAAGATAGATTACTGAAATTTGGACAATTTTGATTGCCGCGTATTTGCTACAAGCAAAATGTAAGTTTTACCACGAAGATTGATTGTAAAAACAAGTGGAAAAGACATTCGTACCAGAATATCACTCCATTTATTTAAAATTTTCAAAAAAAGA